ATCCCTTGCCCCAGAGTCCATATCTATACCTTGTGGCTAATAGCCACTGATGGACCTCTGCTCCATATGCTTATCTAATTCCCTTTTGAAGCCGTCCATGCTTGTAGCTGCCACCACTTCCTGTGGCAGTGAATTCCATGTGTTAATCACTCGTTGGATGAAGAAGGACTTCCTTTTATCCGTTCTAAGCCGACCGCTCAGCAATTTCATTGACTGCCCACGAGTTCTTGTATGGTGAGAAAGGGAGAAAAGTACCTCTTTCTCCATGCCTTAGAGGGAACATTGCCCACGCCAATGTTCCCTCTAAGCTGTCGAGTCTTTTGAGCAAAAATTCTACTTTGTGAGCGGCTGGCATTAAAGTTGTGAGCAGGCGGCTTGGATACTGCATAAATTAGTTTGCTCCGGAGCCCTCCTTCCTGAGCGAAGACAATGTGTGAGCCAGAGGCTAAGAAACGGTGAGCTAGCTCACACTAACTCAGCTTAGAGGGAACACTGGCCCACGCCCCGACTCGCCCCGACGGCAGCAGAGGAACAGAGAAGCAACGGCACCGCAGCCCCCGAAGGAGACACGGCACAGCGACTCGACGCCCAGCGGTTCGGACGGAAGGTCGCAACGCTGGCAGAGCAAGACCCTCACAGCGAGCGCCGCGTCACACCCACCCCAGGAGCCAGGGCTCCCCCCCCCCCCCAGGAGAGCTGAGGCCAAGCAGGGCGGGACGCCCAGGGCCAATAGGACCACCGCCGGCTCACCTGCGACCACACCCCGGACACCTGGGAAGCGTCCGTGTATATAAACGGGGGCAGGGCCAGGCCGGGAGGAAGGGAGGTGGGGGAGAGGGGCAGCGCTGGGAGCAGAGGAGGGAAATAAAAGAGGAGCTCTTCGGAGAGACCGGGGAGGAACAGCGTGCGGGGGTGCGAAGCTGCGAAGGTGAAGAAGAGAGAAAGAAAAGGCAGCAGTATCCGGTGCACGAGGCAGAGGGACTTGAGGGGGTGTCGTCAACCCCATCCCCTGCCTGTCTGAGGTCCCTCCGCAGCTCCCTTTGGCGATCCACCTCCGACTCCCAGCGTCATCTACCCCGCAGGGGAACCAGGCGCCACAGCCACGGGCGGGTTCCCCCGGCAAGCCCACGGGAGAAGCGCGTCACAGGAAGGAAGGGGAAATGGTCCCGGAGAACAGTCTGCATTTATTTATGTATGTATTTTTGGATTTCTATCCCGCCCTCCCCAAAGGCTCAGGGCGGCGAACAACGAGGCACGGATGCCAAAGTTAAAACAGTAAAAACAGAATAAAACGATACAATACAATACACTAAAAGGTCGGTGCTCTCAAGGTTACATAGATCATTAATGGCAAGATGGGGTTCTGGAATTATTAATACCAGACCAACAACATACATCCCAGCAGCATCTTCATCCAGGAACGTCTCGTACCCCAATAATGCCCACACAAGTGGTGGTAGAGGTGCGGTGATGGAAATAAAGTATATTGGCCTGTTTGCTTTTATAAATTGTTTATTTCTTTGGGCTTTTATGCCACCCGAGCAAGAAAGTAAAAAGGTAAAGGTCTCCCTTGCTCGAAAGCCAGTCGAGTCCGACTCTAGGGTCGCAGCGCTCATCTCCGTTTCCAAGCCAAAGAGCCAGCGCTGTCCGAAGACGTTTCCATGGTCATGTGGCCGGCATTAATAAACACCAAGGCGCACGGAATGCTGTTACCTTCCCACCGAAGTGGTCCCTATTTATCTACTTGCAATTTCTTGCTTTCGAACTGCTAGGTTGGCAGGAGCTGGAACTAGAGACGGGAGCTCACTCCGTCATGCGGCACCCGGGTCTCGAACTGCTGAACTACCGACCTTCCACAGCCTACAGTTCAGCGGCTTAACCTCTTGAGCCACCACAGCTCCTCCCAGCAAGAAAGCTTAGTACAAATGACAACCATTACAAATTTCAAATAATAAAAATCACCAATGCTCCCTGCATATTCTACAGTGCTTCAGTCGAGTTCCTTTGTGCCTCTTCACATCCTTTAGGAGTTAACTGATCTAGTTAGGGGACAGTGGCAGAAGAGTAAACACAGAAAGGTCTAGCTATCAGATCTCTCCTGCCCTGCAGTCTGGAGGTCTAAGACACAGGAATATCACTCCTGGAACTTCCAACAGCCCAACTCCATGCCTGCACCACCTTTATGTTTCCGGATGCCAGAGTTTTTCAGACCACAGCCTGGTTTGAACTTTGGCCCGGCCCGATTTCAACATGAGGCTGGTGAGCAGGAATAAAACTTCTGCACACAGCTGAGCAGCTGGCTTCCTCACACGGCAAGAGCGCCGGCCCAGGCGACGGACCTCTGTGCGCACATGCTGCTGGCATGGCTCCCCTGCACCCGCAGAAGCCCGGCTGATGCCAAATGCAGGGCAGGTGCAAAGTCGGGCTCCACGCTGGTCCTTGACCACCCTCCCTCAGCATTCAGCTTCCCCCCCCCCCCCGCCGCCACCTAGCACTGTGCTTC